TATATATATATACACAAAATTATGTGTATGAATATATGTATTAAAAATAGATTTTAAAAAAACTGTTTTAGGGGTGAACACCAGTTGTTGTTTTTTTTTCTGGCTATCTCACTTTTGGGTGCTGCTGGGCAAATATTCAGCCACAGCTCATGGAAGGTGTCACTGAGGACAACATCAGGCTCCTTTGCACTTCAATAACAATCCTCATATGAATTTAATACTCAGGCTAAGGAGTTGCTTTGTGTTTTGCATCATCTGGGTAAAAATACCTGGGAAGCAGTGAGGACTAACCACTTTTTACATTTTTGAAGTAATTTCCTGCTTTACTTCTTGTTTTGAGTTTCTATAGCAGCTGTCTAGAGGGATAAGAGTCTAAAGTGGTATTTTTTCTGTGCTATCAACATGCAATGATAATAACAAGTTAATCAGAAATAAGAATACACATGAGAACTATTAAATTAGGAGAGAAAGCTGAATTTACATGAATGTCCTGGGAAAGAGACACCTTCACCTCAAGAATTTTTCATTGCAAAGATAAGGTGAAGATAAATCTTGCAAATGGCTGGGTGTGGGGTTTATTTGAACCAGAAATGCTTCTAGAAAAAAACATAAATGCACAATAATAAATAAAATCTATTTATCTGGACAGCATTAAAGAGCCAAGCAGCAAGCAGGTAAGCAAGCAAACCCATGTGCAGTGTCAAGAGGACCACACTCCATCACCACCCTCCAGACACAACCCTAACAGATACTCAAAATAGAATATTTAGCTCCTTGTCCACTGATGACTTCAGATAAAACTTCGTATGCCTGTGGGATCTCATTACTCCTTGTCCCTCGTGCTTCTGCTCTGTGATTCACTTTAAAGACTTCTGCCACAAGGTCCCCATCCTTTGAGAGGTACTTTTTCTGGTAGATGCTCTTGGAAGTTGGTTTTTGTGGAAGGAGAAAGGCAGATGGAGAGCCAGGCTGCTCCTTTTAGCCACGGTAGGCTTCAGAGCTGGCAGAGGTAGAAGAGCTTTCACAACATCTCACCAGCAACTCGGAGCTGAGATGTTCTGATGAAACCACCTAAATGGGTTTCTTTGTTCAAGAGTGAGTGAAATCCTACCTTTGAAAACATATTTCTGGTGAGTGACTTTTCTGAGGTCCTTTTTAGGAATTAGAAAAAAAACTCAGTTACAGAATTTTCAGCCTTTGTTTTAGTTGGTGTCTGGCTTCCTTTTCCCAGTTATCCACCTTTTCCAGGAAGCTCTGTCCAAAGGATGCTGTCAGTGGACACACAAAGGTGAGTTCCTGGGTGTTTGTGAGTGAAGGAGGGTCACCAGGGGTGCTTTCATCACCCTGGTGTCACTCCAGGGGTATTCAGGAGGTGTTCCACACTAAGCCCTGGGTGAGGTCCTGGTGTACAAACCCCTGCTAATGCATCATTAATGCAAATTAGCTCCAGGTTAATTCACTCATGAAGAAAGATGGTCCAAGAAAGCATTGGCCAGCTCTTTCTGTGCCTGAACTTGCTCAGGTCTATCACAGTCAGGGAGACAACAAGGAGCAGTTCTGCTGCAATCCTTCAGAGGACCACAATGGAAAGTACAACCACTGCTTGTGCAAGGACCTTCCTCAGGCCATGATCAAAGTGTTGAGGCTTGAATTATAGCCACTCTTCTGGTCAACTTTTATTTCCAAATCAACATTATAGGGTAAAAGTGGGTCTTGGGGGCACCTGGTAATAAGTCTTTTTTAAAAGGTGAGCACCAGGGTTCTCAAGGGTATTATTTCTACTACCCTCCACAGATAAATAATCTGAGTTTGTTATTAAATATGTCAATAAAACACTCTGATTTGGGCATGACTTTATTTGAAATACATTCTGATTTGGGTATTCTCAAGGGTACTATTTCTACTACCCTCCACAGATAAATAATCTGATTTTGTTATTAAATAATAATACAACCTGATTTGGGTGTGACCTGTTATTCCTCATGACTTCAAATGAAAACTGTCCCCAAAAGGACAGTTTCCTTTGCTATTAAGCAAAGGAAATATGCTTAATATTTAACCTATCAAAAGGTCAATACGTGTGTGTGCTGATAAAGTCCCAGGTCTAATACCAGAGCTGGTGTCTCTCAGGTCCTGTCTACATGGCACCAACAAAGAACAAAACCAACGTGACTGAATTCATCCTCCATGGACTGACAGAAGACAGGACAGCAGCTAAAGTGTACTTCTTGTTATTCTTAGTCTTCTATGTGGCCACCATCCTTGGAAACCTGCTTATCACCATCACTATAAAGATAAGTGAACAGTTGAACTCTCCCCTGTACTTCTTCCTGAGCTACTTGTCTTTTGTAGACATCGGTTACTCCACCATCACAGCTCCCAAACTCCTTCACGACCTACTTGTTGAGAAGAAAACCATCTCTTTGGTGGGCTGCATAGCTCAGCTGTTTGCAGGCCATTTCTTTGGGTGCACTGAGATCCTCCTCCTCACAGCCATGGCCTACGACCGGTGCGTCGCCATATGGAAGCCACTTCACTACACGACCATTGTCAACAGGCAGGTCTGTGGGTGGCTGGTGGTGGCTTCTTGGGTGGGAGGCTTTGTACACTCGGTGGTGCAGACCCTGCTGGTCGTTCAGCTCCCGTTTTGTGGGCCCAATGAGATTGACCACTTTTACTGTGATGTCCACCCTTTGCTGAAGCTGGCCTGCACTGACACCCACGTGATTGGTGTCGGCGTGGCTGCCAATAGTGGGGTCATTTCCCTGAGCTGCTTTGTTGTCCTTGTTGTGTCCTACGCTGTTATCTTGGTTTCTTTGAGGGCTCACTCTTCTGAAGGGCGTCTCAAGGCACTCTACACGTGTACCTCCCACATCACTGTTGTGGTTCTCTTCCTTGGGCCATGCATTTTCATCTACCTGCGTCCTTCCACCACGTTCTCTGCAGACAAGATGGTCTCTGTGTTCTACACCATCATCACGCCGATGCTCAACCCCTTGATCTATACCCTGCGAAATGAAGAGGTGAAAAACACCATCAAGAAGTTGTGGAGCAGAAAAGTGAAGAGGAGAAATGAAACAACGCACGCTTGTGTGAGCTGAAGAAACCATGGGGAAGGAAGAATTATCCAGGAAAGAGTTTCCAGTTCTGTTGCTCTGGTTTTAGCACAATTCAGAACAGGTCTGACACTCAACTCAAGGTTTCGTGCAACTCATCTTCTTTAGAAACTGTCAATCAAAAGGATATCAGGTTATTGTCAGCTCCCAAACCTGAGCCTTGGGGGTCCTATCATGGCTTTGACCTTCAGGCCCCTCATAGCTGTATCTTGGGTGCCTGTTTAGGCTTCTTCCAGCATTAGGAGAAGCAACCAAGTGTTTGGAAAGGTTGCTCTTTCCTGCTAGCTCCTAAAAGCTTTGGTGAATACCATCTCTTTATATTTCTCCACAAAGGAGAGATGGTGGTACCAAGCTTCCAAGAGTACCCAAACCTTTCAGAACAGCACAGCACTGGCAGCTTTTATCTCTCATACTTTGATGTTCTAGCATGAGATGTCTAGAACTGAGCAAGCCACTGATGGAAATCAGCAACCTTTGGGCAGATGGGAGACATTTAATGGTAAAACAGGACTTTGAGAGAAGTAGGAGGTTCTATCAAGTCTCTGCATGACAGGAGAGATGGGAGATTGTACTGAAACACTAATATGTGAGTATTAAAAATGTTCTCCAGGCAGAGCATCATAATAGCTAGAGTGTGACCCTTCAGTCAGACAACTCTGTGGCCCATTCAGCTGGGAAATGGTGGCCTAAAGGGTTGCCAAAATAGATTGTTTCCTGCTGCTGGAGATGCCTTGTTATTTATATGACATTATCACAGGCTGAATCCATGAGTTAACTATTAAAAAGCTGATTAATGCAAATTAATGCCCAGGTCCCCAAAACCTCTTGTACTATAAACCTAAAATTATGGCCATTCTTGCTTCTATTAATTTCATTTAAAGGAGCTCTGATGCCTGACACCTTCCTGTGACCTTGAGTTGGTCATAGGTGACCTTTGTAACCTATCAGAGCAACAGTCCAAGCATGGTTGGAGACAACAGACACTGGTTGATCCAAAGACTTTTTATAATTTCTCTATATTTCTGGACAGAATAGGAAGAGAAAGAGGTAGCAATGACTGACAGAAGACCAAGAGTTTATCTTTTCTGCTGTTAGGGTAGGAAACCAAGATTTCCACTCTAGATTTCCAGATTCTTCCTCACTGCAAGAAGCAACTCCTTTCACCTCTTGAAGACATAACAGAAACGGCCATAAAATTCAGGAACCACATTTATTTCTTCTTTTTTCTAGCTTGCATTCTTTCAGAGACCAGTTTCCAGTCTCTAAAGATTATGCCATGGGTTTGGTTTACCTTGGCTAGTTGCTGGACACCCACCCAACCCCTCTCTCACTCACCCTCCTCAACAGGACACGGGGAGAAAATGAGATAAATAAAACTTGTGGGCTGAGATAAAGCCAGGAGGAACCTCTTATCAATTAGCTGATTTGAACTTGAGCCAATGAGCTGATCTGAACTTGGGCCATAGTTCTCAGTGGCATCTGACCACCGCTATCTTTGGTCTGCCCACACTTCCCCTTGTCTTGGGGAATGAACATTCATATCAGTTTATCTTTGTATCTCCTCCTGATGAGGCATTGACCCAGCCTGTCCCAGAGGGATTGAGGTTTCCCACCCAGTGCTACCCATCCTAGCTCTGTGGGTTCTCTCAAGCAACATATAGATGTGGTGCTGAGGGACGTGGGTCAGTGGGGACCTGGAAGTGCTGGGAGAACGGTTGGACTTGATGATCTTCAAGATCTCTTCCAACCTAGATGATTCTATGATTGTATGATTCCATCTCCTGCTTCCTGACACTGCCTCAGTGCAGGGAGTGGCAGCACAACCCTACATTTATGTTTTTATTACTAAAGACCTGTTTTTTTTTCCACACAAAGGGCTTCTGAGTGTTTAGAAACACACGTTGTCTTATTCTTCCTTTATCAACCTTGAGGACTCAATGCACAGAAGGTGGTGGAGTGAATTGTTATGCTGTGGCACACCAAGGGACCCAACCACCAGAAGTGTTTAATAAGGCCCTGGGGTAGCTGCCTGCACTGTGGTAACAACTCACTTCTCACAGGTCCAGCTCCACTAGTGGAAAAAATACTTTTTACTTACTAGTGGAAAACTACCTTCAGCACCCAGTATGTTACAGGAGTGTTTATAGGTTGTGCTGGGATGGGAGGACTTTAGGGAGAAGGAGGAAACACAGAGATCAGTTCAGAAAGCCTCAGAGGTGTTGCCCCATTGGATTGTCCTATGTGAAAGATGGAAAGCAGGAGGTGGATACCATCACTGTAAAATTTGTCTGTAGCCTGTTAGGAAAGGAAAAAATCACTTGAAAGCCTCTTGGAACATTTCTATGCCACAAGTAACTGAAACAAGAGCAAGGATGTGGGAATTACAAGCAGGAGGAAGAAGAGTGGAACCACGGCCTGACCCATTGGGTGAAGAACTTGAAGCAGATTTGGAGTGATTTAAAATGTTTTCAGACAACAAGTGCTGCAGAGTTCAGACTTGAAAGTTCATGTTGTACCAACATGTGGGTACAGTAGTCATCATTTTTTTTCTCTCTCCTTTGCTTCATGTTCTTCCTATCAGCCTATTAAAGCACGGGTGTGGTTGTGTTTATGTGAAAGGCAGAGAGAAATGTTTGGTAATCTGTTGAAAAATATACAGAAAAATTCAAATACGACCGTGGCATTTTTGGTCTGGATCCTTTAAAGCAGCTTCATTGTGTGCTGATTGCATTGTGGACATCCAGCACGGGGCAGCTACCTGCTCTCTGGTGGTACTGAAGGACAGATGGACTATCTTCATCAACGACCTGGATGAG